GGAAGCAAAGACGTCTGTGTTCAAACCTTAGAGGCATAATGAAGAGAACACAAGTTATTGTGGGAGCATATTGTGAAAGTCTAGATTGTAAGGGAGAACTCCAAGGGAGGGATGTTAAGTTGACCCCTGAGACATGAGAGGAAGGGTTACAGGGTTAGTGATGAGGGGATGAGATCAACTACCCTCCTGCAGAACATTCCAGGGCCCAGTGACTGTTTCTCAGCACCAGATTCTCTAGCTTTAGAGATGGGTCCCTGGTGGGTCATCACACGGCCAAGGACGCAGGAGGGGCAACTGTGAGCACGTGGCCATCTAGAAGACCCGTGCACCATGGCACACAGGACACCCGTCCCCCAGTCCCAGAGGCTCCCCTGAAGGCAGCTGGGCCCGGGAGGGCAGTGACCTGCTCCCAGCACATGTGCTGCCCTGACCCCAGCCGGGAATGCCAGCGGCTCTTGCACTGTCCTCAGGACCAGGCACACCTGCCACTCCCCCTTTCCTGCAGCTCATGGGGCACTTTCACGTTGTCCCCTAAAGGAACTCAGCTAGGTTAATCCTTAACGCCAAGGAAAGGCTGGCAAGCACCATCCCTGCTCCCTCGGCCCCGGCCCCCCCCCCAACCCCCGCCCCCCGGCGGTGCCTGCCTTTGGCTCCTTGCACTCAAGTGTCTCACGTTTGCAGGAGTCACTCGGTGTTCTCTCCATCTGCCTTTTGGTTACGGTCACTGAAGACGAACTTCAGATGAGGAAAAACCAGGAGTGTTCAGTATTTCCCAGCTCCAACTCCTCCGCAAGGCCGCGGTGCCGGCCGCCCCAGCCTGGTTGCCTCTGCCAGCTTCCTCACCTGCGCATCGGGGCCTTTCCCGCGAGGCCAGCCGAGCAGAGGACGCAGCGGCCACCCCTCCCTCTTGTCCCTGGGCCCCAGGTCTGCTCTGTTCACCAAATAGCACAGCTGAGATGTTTTCAAAACAGAGACGTCTTTCAGGAGACGTTTTACAGTTTTGCAACACTAGCAAAAGCTGGTTCATCACTTTTCTATTAGCTAAAATTATAATTTTTTATTTCAATATGATTCTTACCAGAATGTGAATTGAAAGGCATTTAGGTTACAAAGTAGTGCTTTTTCTTTAAATAGGTGCATTCAGCTGGCCTTGCGTGCAGCTTCTCAGTAAGGAGCCGGCACTGGAGTGAGAGAAGGCTTGGGGGGGGCAGCCAGGGCCCCCCCTCCTGCCCGGCCGGGAGTGACCCGCAGTCCAGGAGTGCTCTGCAGACGGGAAAGGGCACGACTGAGCGACAGCGCCTGCCCCGGGAGCAGGCTGCACGGCCACTGGACGGTCAGCTCCCAGGTGAGCTGTAAGGTTCTGAAAATGGCAGTGGACGATCACTGCAGCTGAGTTGAGCGTGACGTGTGGGATTCAGCCCTCACTGTGCTCTCACGTCCACGCTTACACAGTTACAGAATTTCACAACACCATGAGGAAAACCACACCACCATGAGGAAAACCACACCACCACAGCTTACACCTGCTGGATCGACACACTCACGTCACAATCATGCCCGTCAGAAACCCTGCGCTGAAGGAAGGGCAGGCTCTGGGTCCCCTCGGCCCATGACAGAGCTGGGAGGGGCTACTTGGGTGCCTTACTCCCTCACGTCCCTCACGCTGAAACTATTTTCCTACCAGAAAGAAAACAGCAGCAGCAAGCTCCCTTGTTTGTTTGTTAGTCATTTAGCGCTATCTGAACCACTTGTGGACTATTTTGAACATCATTAAAAAACACAAGTGTATCACAAAGTGAAAAAATCGTCTCAGCCAATATCTCTTGAAAGCTCACTAGATGGTGTCCTGCCTGCTGGTCTTTTGGTCAGTCAATCAAATATCAATTGAGGAATAACCACAAAAACCAGAAAGTGGGTAAATGGCTAAAAGAAGTCAACTGTGAGAGGGATACTGTGCTGCCTATGACAACAGCCAGAAAATAACTATGGACGTGAATGACACAGGCCCAGGAGTGAGAAGCTAAGACCGGGGTCTAACCGTCATGCAGAACCCCCCCACACCCCCGAGGCCGGTTTAGGGTAGGTCAGGAGAGGGACAGTGTGGGGGGCGGGGCGACAGGTCACCGGAGGAGGAGAGGCCTCTATTACCAGGAGGGGAAGGGAGCCTGGGGGTGGGTGGGGAGCAGGGAGGGCGGTGGAGGGCGGGGTCCCCAGGCCTCCTTGGTGACAGGCTATGGATGAGCTTTCCAGTGAGACCAGCGAGTAAAAAGCCAGAGGCAGAAACAGCTCCTCAGGACACGTGGGTCCAGGAAAGGAGAGCGGTGCCTCCTTCCGAAAACACCCGCACTCCAGACGCACAGCCAGCTCCCAGTTCTTAAGGGAGGTTAATACTCTCTGTAACAGGCCACTGTCTGCAAAACAGAGAGGGTATGTAAAAGATGAAGATAATTAAATAAGCAAGGTACTCCTAGTGCTATGTTGGTGGTTTCTCAGCTGGGTGCTGAAGGGGAAAGCTGGCTGAAGGCTCCCACCCTACTGACAGTAAAATCAAAGACGGGAACCAGGTGTGCTCCCCAGGGCGCCCCACGGCACACTCGCCCCGACCAGCACGCAGTATTGATTATACAGCATCAGAAGGTGGTTCAAATATGCAAAAGATACATCTTGGAAACGTAGGTTGAAATCGGTCATTTATTTATGAAAAATTCTACATGTATTGTTTGTTTGCATTTTAAAATGAGGTTTAAAGTGTCGAGAAAAGTGCCATTAGCTGTAAGTGGTTAAAGTCATCGTAAGCTTTCACCTCTAAGTAGATGCCAGTAATCGTGCAAACTAATAATGAAAGACGACGTAAATGATACTTTTATTTTTTACAAACAGCATTAAGGATGAATTCTACCTTCTTTGAAGCCAATCACTTTCCTATTGAAAAGTAATAAAACAGTAGAAGGAGCACAGGCAACTTGCTTTTCACACAGTGAAGTTGTGTGTTTACAGAATTCAAACAAAAACCCCAAAATCAACCACATTCTCTCATTAACCTGTGATCAAAACAAAGTTGCTTTGGTAAATTCTATCAAGAAAAAATATTTTTCTCCCAAAGCACATCAATAAATATTTATATTAAAAACCACAAACATTTACTTTCATTTAATCAGATACAACAGAAGAAAAATTCATTTTTACATTAATCTTTGTAGATAAGAAAAATGTGATTTACAGTGCATATTCCAATCCCAGTCTGGCTTTGTCTTCAGATTCTGAGGAACAATATTATGAAGGACTACGTGCCCCCTGAGCATCACGGATACATCACCCGGGTGAGTTACAGGCACTTAGCGTTACAGAATCCCGGCACAGCAACTGCAGCTGGTCCCAGGCCCCCCAGAGCGCGGGGTGGCGCTCCCCGGTCCCCACACTGGACAGACTCCAGAGTCTCACACGCAGTGTCGACTCTCCTGCACCTCCAGACAGGACTAGCCAAAGACAAACCTCCCTGCCTCCTGCTTTACAATGCCTGCCTGAATCACAGCACAGTCGCAGCAAGCGCTTCTTCAGGGAGCTGGAGGGTTACAGTCTACATGCTCAACTGTCTACCTGAGGAACCAAGATGTTTCAATTGGCTATTACACTAAAAATTATAAACTTTCCTCTGCATTACGAAACAAAATCTCCACCATTGGGCTCTGAACACAAACTGGATTTTTATTTTAACACCACTTCAAACATGTCTCCCTTTCAAGGCTCAGTCAAGTAAATTTCTTGTTCTATTAAAAAAAGATATTTGGATAGATGGTAGAGACATAGATGACTGACAGACGACAGACAGACACACTGTCACCCATCAGGTGTCCTGCCATCAGGCATGCTCCATGTTCCACAGGAATGTTAAATGGAACACCCACTCACACGGGTCAGCACGGAAGTGCACGCTGAACAGTTCGAGGACGGTGTTTTTAAGGAAAGGAATGTACATGTAACTGGCGGTTTTTGTCTTTAATCAAAAAAAACCCTACACCTTTCCTTTCAAACCATGTTACCTAGGACATAAGCACCGCCCGCAGGTAAGAGCTGTCCTGCTAAGGAGACTCAGGCCAGGCGCACCTGACACGGGGTCGCTTTGTCAAGGACAAAAGGTCCAGAGACAGAAAGTGGGCGAGACGACTCGGTGATGCTCTCAAATTGGCCACAACACAGCTGCTCAGGCTCTCACCGCAGGCACAGTAAGTCTCTCACTGTGAAAAACAAAAACCTGGGGTTTATAGAAAAAAGGCACTTCCAGTACTTTATATAGTTTTCACTCTATAATGAGCAAATTAATATTTTCCAAACCAAATTAAAAGTATCAAAGTTACTAAAATTGATCCACATTTATAGCATTCTTTGATCTGCAATCAAAAAACGAGAACAAATTTTTAGATGAAGATCAATATTGAAAAATTCGGAGAAGTAAAAGTAAAACCTCCAACTAAGCACCACCGCCACCACCCTCCCTCGGCAGGAGAGGAGATGCGTCTGCAGGGAGTGGTATTCCATGCTTGATCACATATGACTTTGCTTTTCAAGTGTTTAATTTGTTTACATATTTTTAAATTTAATACGGAAAAAAGTTTAATTTGCCAGGTTAAACACAATTCAGCACTACCTTTGGAAGATTCTTTTACACCTGGATTGGAAGTTTCTGGCAACAGAGGAGACCTGCACAGCTGCTACAGTCTTGTGTGTCACAGACTTTACGTATATGCTGCATGCAAGAGGAGGCTGTCAGGAAACAGAACCGCAGCCAACGATGGCATGAAAAGCTTTGTGGTAAACTGCAAGTCAGCACTGGCACCTCGCGGGACAGCATCACAGATTCCCATCTCCAGCTGCAGCCCCACGGGGACTGCAGGAAGTGGACGTGTGTACAGTACGGCCATCATGTGCAGTCCCTGCACACGTCCACCGAGGAGTCACGGCATGTGGGGAGTGCCCTAATTCGACATACAAAGATCAAAGTCCAAACATGAAATATAGGCACAGAGTAGATTCTCCACTCTTTTTTATAAGGGAAAGACTAAACAACTTGATATACTAATAAAACATGATATGACAAACTCTAAGAATCTGAATGAAATGAGACACAAAGGTGCAATTATCAGGCAAATTTTGGTTTGAAAATACTTGGGAACTGTGGACTTGTCACCATGCCTCCTCTGCCATGTCACTCCAGCTCCTCCCAGTGGTCTGTCAGGTGGCCTCTGCTCTGCCGTCTGATGCTGACGAGCTTCCCAGCCGACTTGAGGCTCCAGCGGGAGCTGCCTCCTGAGCTGGCCAGGCTGCTGTACTTGGTGGAGGCCTTGCCGTCCTCCTCCCAGCCTGGCCGAGACACACGGTCATTCAAGGTGTCACCTGAATCAGCTGCCACATCTTCAAGAGCAAGTTTTGGAGGCTCCCAACCTTCAATCTCATCTGGTTTCTTAGACTGTATATTCTGTTTTAAAACCAAATTGTCCCAAAATCCAGATTTCTTCTCTGTCTTCAACTCTTCCTTTAATCGTAGGTTAGTTCTATAGGAGATGAAAGAGTTAAGTGTTGGTGATCCAGTGATCTTAGGGCCTCAAATTGTGTCCATTTTATAAATACAAGGTTCTTTTTTAAAAAAGTTTAAATTGTTTAGGCAGCTAACCCAAATCTATGTGTAAAATTTTAAATATTAAAATTAATAAGGAAAAATTAGTCACTACATGTTATTAATGAAACTTGTGAAAGCCATGTTTGAAGATAGCACACTAGGCAAGACACAAGCCAAGAACTCGTTCTCAGACAAGAAGATACAAACGAGAACGCCCTCCAGGCAACGTGAAAGGTGGTGCTCAAGTGTCTGAGCAAGCCAGATGAGAGCCAGCCCAGGGTCCAGACTAAGAGATATGGGGGAGTCCTCCATTTACCAAATCGGGTTTCAACAGGGTTATTCACATAGCAGCCTAGTCTCAAGCATTTAGTGGTAATTTGCTGAACAAAAACCAAGACTTTAGAACATTGTCGCGTCAGGAAAGGACGGCCGATTGGTGGGGGAGACAGATCATCACGCATGACCACAAAGCACTAGGGGCCACTGGTCCTGCAGCCTGACAGCCGGAGCACCCAGGACAGTGTTACAAGCACCAGTGTCCAGGCTGCACCCCCAGAGTCTCATTTAATTGGACTGGGGGCCAGGACACAGGTGTTTCTTCAAGGCCCCCCAGGAGATGCTGATGTATTAGCCACCACCCTGACAGTCAAGAGGACCAACTCGCATGGTCCTCACAGAAAAGAAGGCAGTGCAGTCAGGGCCACAGGGCCAGAGGAGGCCACGCACGGCTGGTGGGTGCAGAGGAGCCACCGAGGCACCCATGGTCCTCAGACCAGCACACTTTTTACTTTCAGACCCACCAAGATTCACCTTCCAATCAAAAAACATGCCGTTGGCAACATCATTAGGTAGTCACCGAATTTATATTTTCATCTTTAAGCACACTTTTTAAAATTTCAAAGTATTTATAATAAATGAGCACCAATATGTCAGTTTAAATATATTCATTTTTCTAAAGTCTTTTACAGTTTACCAATCCTTTGCATTTCTAACCTTTTGTCTTGATTTTCTTTTCTTTTCTTCCTTTTTTTTTTT